AATAGTGTATGCTTTTAAAAATAGCATGCTAAAATTTTAAAATCATTTCTCAAAAAAAACAATATTTTTGAGTTACAACCTTCTAAGCCTTAACGCCTTAGTTGAATCAGCTCCATCAGGTTATCTTTAAACGCATTTCTCTCAAAACTACATTTATAAAAACTTGCATAAGTGATCACTCGGAGATAATATATGATCTMCCATTACAATGACAATGAAGAGTTCCGAACATATTTTTTCATACTGATCTGATAAAAGACATAATTTTTGCTGACCAAAAACAAAATTTTTTTTGTCTGTGTTAGGAAATTTTTACGTTTTTAACATCAGAGTCGCAAAGTGACTGATATAATTAGAATTAAATTTAATTCAACTTGTGGCACAAACTCGAGTCTTGCCATCAAAAAACTTGAAAAATTATTTGAAACTAAAAAATGTAAAAAAAAAATATGAAAATGTTTATAAAACCTGAAAATACTGAAAATAATTTTTTCCCATATCCCATTTTTTTATTATATCCTTTTTTTTGACATACAAGGTGCGTTCCAAAGTAAACAGGACTTTTTGAATCTAGCGCCCCCTGGTGGCGTCATCTATATATCGACTGGTGCATTAGAATTTGCTATCTGTATGATACTCCTTTGATTGGAAGTGAAGTTCTTGCGTTTTAAATATCAGTATATTTGTGTTATCGGTGCGAAAATGAGCTTCGAACAAAAAGCCAACATTAAATTATGTTTTAAAATTGACAAAACTTTTACCGAAACGTTTCAATTGATGAAACAAGTTTATGGCCTATCCCGTAGCAGAGTGCACAAGTGGTTTCAATGTTTTCAAAGTGGTCATGAGGACCGGAAATTCCATAGAAACTGTGCGTTAATTCAACAAAAATCAGCCGAAATTATCATTGAAATTCATGGAAATGAAATTGAACATCTCCAAAACATCAAATTATTGCATTTTGACCGAACATTTTAGCTTACGAAAGGTGTGTGCACAGTTTGTTCCGCATATATTGACTGACGACCAAAAATTGCTCAGAATCCAACATTGGAACGACGATTATTTGACCAAAAATCACGTTTTAACCAATAACCAATCCCGTATTCACCTGATATGGCACCGTTCGACTTCTTCCTTTTCGGAAAAATGCATTTGCCCATGAAAGGAAAGCATTATGTAGACGTAGAGGCCATTCAAAAGGCTTGCACCGAACTAAAACACTCGTTCGACATGCCTTTGGACCGTGCAAAAAAGCTGTAGGAGACTATTTTGAATAAAATAAATT